GGGGTGGAGAAAAGAAAAAAAAAAAAAGTGATTTACAGTTACAAACAGACATTTCAAAGATAATCCACAGTGTCTGGGTGCATTAATAGCTAGTTAATAGGGAAAAGATGAAGCTTGCTTTTTAGAGAGTTTAGCTCTACCATTTTTTTTCTGTGAAGAGACTGCCTATCTATTACTGTACTTTTAAGTAGACCTTGTCTGGTCAAACTAGGTTCATTGGGTCATGTTTTCATGATTTCTACTCAGCTTGTGTGTACGAGCTCCCAGCTGATCCCTCTCTTATCACAGTAAGAAAACCCACCATCCTGGCAGATCCCTTGTAAGCTTATTTTTCCCTTCGCTCTTTTAACTTTTGTAGTCGGTAACCCTCTCAGAAAGGAGACAATGACATGGATATCTGGGTGATAAAGTCATTCACCAACTTTGAGAATAACTGTAGGCAGCGGAATACAGTATTGCCAGCACAAAGCAACTGATCTGAGAAGTCAGGGGCAACAAGCTATCAAGTTCACCTGAGGAAGCATTTCCTTCTCTTTGGCCAAGTACACGAATGTGAGTAAATTATAAATTAATCAGCAACAACAGCCCTTACAAGCAGCTATCAGTGGCAACATCCTTTTCATGTTAGAACCAAGAGATGCTTAGAAAAGACAATGCAGGTTGCATTTGAACATGGGTGTGCAAGCCGTGAGAGGGAAAGAACGAAGACCAAGCCTGACACTTCTCTCTGGAAACACTACAGCCTGCAAATACAGCAGTGGTGCTGCCAAACCTGATGATGTCAGCTCTTCATGCTGACACAACACTGTGCATCACCGGTGTGGACTGGCCGTTAACGTGAATGTTCAAAACCTTCATGTAACTGCACACACACAGAGGCAAGCACACTAACCTCGTCTTCCAGTCTTCCTCTGACTTTGAACGATTTTTGCGGGCAGTCCTTTGTTTTTCTTCTAGCCTCTTCTTTTCTTCACTAGCTAGATCTTGAAGGAATAAAAATACATGAATGAAAGTACAGAAGATGTTAATGTGTAACGTAAGAAGAATTTTGCACCATGTCTTTTTTGGCAATGCAGTTTCACTTAAGTTTTAGACTCCATTTCTCAGAATTGGTACCCACTTACTCTAACAGTTCATCTAACAACATGAACGTTGATTTTACTTTTTTCCCAGTCCCTCAGTTTTAACAAAAACCACCTTTGCCAATAACTGAAGTTACCTATTTCTCCGTTTTCCATGGCCCTGATATCCGGCCGTAGCCGGCAGTCAGTTTTGGGAATGACGCTCTCCATTTCTTTGTCCAACTCATTCAAAGCCATAGCAAAGCTAGTAAAATTATACATCTGAAATTCAGAGACAAAGATAAAAGGTGACTTGACGATGTCTCTAGCTGCTAGTCTTAATACATCAAAGCTGCTGTCTAAAAACAAACATCCAAGTGCTTTTTTATTATTTAATCACTCGAGACAGGAATAGTCAGGATACCAGCAAAACTGCACTGTCAGGCTGAGTGTAGGTGATCCTTGGTGTTTCTGTTTAAGCAGGACAGCATTCAATTACTCAGTGCGCTACTTCTCTCTTATCTTCTTTTTCCAGTCCTACCGGTATTTTCTCTACCTCTGTAGAGAGATTTCCCCCTTGATTAACCCACTGCGGGCACCTTCTCTTGCTCCAATTCTTCCTTTCCAGTTGCACACCCCCTCTTCCGCCCACTGGCTCTCTAGCTCCACACAGCTCTTCACATGCCGACTCAGGCTACGTGGACTTTGCAAGCTCCTAGAAGTGTCTTGTCCTCAAATACAGCCCTTCAGAAGAGATTTCTCACAAGGCAGGTGCCTCAGTGGGGGCAGCAGGGTGGAAAGAAGAGGTGGGGAAAGCCCCCACACTGCTAGCTACACGAGCATCCCATTTTCCAGAGAAATTCTGCGAGCTCTAGAGTCATGCCTATGGCAGTTATCCCTCCAACCCCACATTACAGTTACAATTGTATTGGGAAAGTTTGTTGCAAAAAGAGGCAAATCCAGACTTGTTAATGAAAAAGACAACAAACAGATTTGCTTTGTGTCGAACATACAGAATAACAGTACAGCACACGCTTTCAATAAGCAGAAGCATAGCCGACCTGTGCTGAATTTGGAGGTCTTGGAGTTATCTTCCATAGCAAAATACTTCCTGGAATAACATATACACTCTCAGAATCTGGCAACGGCATCTCATCTGGTTCCTCAGTATTGCCCACCTAAAGGCAGCGCACAAAGAAAAGATGAGTTCTTTGGAGTCATAAACCATTTACACCCATTCATTCCAACACTGGAACTCACATAAAGTAATTTTCCTTGACCAAAACTAAATAATTTCAGCAATAATGGAACTTTTCTAGATGCTCATCAAGAAGGATAATGGCATTAACATAGCATACACACTCCAAATTCCCTCCCAGTGGAAGACTATACCAACAGTTTCCTGCATCGTCTTTGTAGATATAACCTGGATGTTCAAGCGTTAAGAAACGGCCCTTTTTCCACCACAGAGATGTCCCGTTCCCTCAAACACAAGCACTTCCATGTTCCTCAAACACAAGCATTTCCATGTCTGATACTTCACTCCATTACTGCTTCATTAAAGCTGAAGTACAGAAGTCACATTCCCCATCCTGCCACATCAAAGACACAGCAGCACATAATGCAAATGCTGTCTTCGGTCTGTGTACCACAGAAAGCCCTACGCTACTGCTCTCTGCTCAGAGGAACCTTCTTTTCCATCGACCACTACGCTACTGAAAGGGCAAACTGCAAGCGTTAAATGAGTATCCTAGAGCTGCTGCTTCTGCTGGGAAGGGTACCCTGTGAAGGCTGACACCTGCGGCACTGTGAAGTGGTTTTCACACAACAGGAAAAACTCCACCCAGAGTTAGGAGGGCAGCAGAGAATAACTGCTGGTCACAGTGTCAATGTGACCTGAACTAGTTCTAAACCATCAATCACCCTTTTTATGCACGGCTTTAAAGCAGCTGGGGTTCAGTGCTGCCGATGTTAATGCTGCCACACAAATGTGTTACAGTACCAACCTAAAGCCAGCCAGACAATGAATACAGCTCTCGCAAGAAAACTTGGGTGTCACTATCACAGCTACAAACTGCAGCACTATTCAGAGACCACTGGAGAGTAAAGCTGAACTCAACGGCAACTAAGGCTTCAAATACTCTGGCTACAAGCCAACAGCTTTAATCCTGCTGCTAATGAGCTTTGCTCTCTGATGGCTGTGTCAGACAATAACAGTCTGATGTTTTAGTGCAAAAAAATCCAGCACCCAAACTGGACTCAGTTGTCCTCTGAGATGATTAACGCGTTATGCCTCCAAGAATACTAGGAAGTATTAAGGACTCTGTTTCACTGTGGAGCACTTGGGTACAGTGCCTTTAATAATGAATGGGCTGCAACGTAACCAGAACAACATGCAGACCAGGTTTAGTCCCATAGCTATTAGGAAGATAAACAGGGCTTTTAGTTGACTGGATCTGAACTGTGCTGGCAACCTGCCATCGCGGCCTTTAAAGGACACTGATCAGTCCTTCAGAAATCGGGAATTTGAAGCAGAACAGATCAGAAAGATATCCTTGTATCAAAACAAAGACACTTCAACACCAGACTGTCAAACTCCAAACCAACTTTTACAGAAAGCCTACAATACATGCTGGAATTTGTGCCTTGTTGGATACATAATCTTAAAAACGTCATAAAAGCTAGGCAAAAAGTGGATTTTCATGTGTTCTTCCCACAGTGATCTATATTTTACGCTCAGCGCTACTCAACCTCCCAATATATTGCTAGGAGGGTAGTAAGACTTTGGCAAAGCAACACCTTGGGTGTCTGCAAAGGAGGCACACGTGAGGGCAGGTGCTGTTGCCTTACATGATGCTCTCCCCTGTATTTGCACTGACGATTCCGCACAAAATGCTTCACCTTGATTAAAAAAAGACTCCAGTTCATTCGCAGCAGAATCATCCTGGTCTAACCCCAGGTCTACTGTAACTCTTCTGACGTTGGTAAAATATCACCATGAAGGCTTGCCTAGCTTCTTGTAAAATTATTTTTCCTTAAGTTTTATCCCTACAAAAATCAAAGGGATTCGGGGTAAAATCTGGGGCAATTTGCAAAAATGACTCTCATCCAAGCAAGTCCCCTAAAGGGAGACAGAAGCGATTCCTCATTAGTATCAACTAAATTTAGTAACCACTAAATAAATCTGAAAATTCTACTTAGAAGTTTGAAAGGCCGTGTACTTTCATGCCCAAATGAACCCTTCGCTACCATGAAGGGACAAACCACATCCAGCCGTTATACGTGAGACCTGGCTCACCTACATGCTCAAAACCCATAAACGGCATCGACTCAAACACAAGGGGGCAGTGGGAATACACAATCAGCAAAGACTACCTGATTCATCGTGTGCATTACACAGCTTTCAGTTTTCTACACAGAAATAGTTTTGCTGAATGAACTCTAGACTAAAGCGTGCTTTTCTACAGTCCCAGCAACATCGCAGCTTAAGCTTTATGCAACAGGATGCTTCATTTTTAAGTCAAAAGCAAGAACCATCTTAAGCACCGCTGGAAAATGCAAAGTGGTAGCTGATCAGAGACACAGGGTACGTTTTTCTTCGCTGCTTCTCCCTAGAGCTCACAGGTCAGACTCAAGAGAAGCAGCAATCCTCAGTGCTTTAGCATTCTCCTGATAACAAGCACTGGAGCAATCTCAGAAACAGCAACAATCTGAACCTGCACAGGATCAACCACTTTCAGAGCTCTCTCACTCTTTTACTCTTAAGCACAAAAACTACCAACACCCAAACCAACAAAAAAATCTGGCTTCAGTCACCAAAGAGGAACAAACCCCACAGCTACTATGTGAGTGGTTGCTCTTCATCAAGCTGTCTGTTGTCACCATCACCATTCACCTTAAACAAAAAAAAAAAAAAAGCAGACTGCTGACCAGAAATCTGAAGAATTGAAGAAATAGGGTTTTTTCCCCAGAAGAAAAAAAAAAACGCAATTGCAAAGGAAAAAAGCAAGCATTTCTACAGTTGTGAAACTTTGATAGAAAGCAATACAAAAATTCCTTGTAAAAGCTGGAAAATATCTTTTATCAAGATGAGAATCTAGTCTGTCCTGCCTCTAGGAGTCCAAGTGCTTTTATTAGAATATAAATGTTATCATATATGATCAGAACCACGGTCCAACTAATGGATATGCTATTTCCTCCATGTGACTTGGGAGGAAGAGGCAGGTAATGAACCAGCCAGTATTTAGATGACTCCAAGTTTTGATACAAATCCTTCAGAGAGAAAGCGTTTTCTCTCTTAACGCTGGTACTCATCCAACCCGTTTTGTATGCTATCAGGAAACACAGAATAAGCAAAATCTTAATGCTCTTAAAAGCTACTAAAATATTTTGCTGTCTTAGCATGCTTTTGATATACCACCTCTTTACATGATTAATACCTGTTTACTGCTTTTCTTCTCTTCTGCATTTTTCTTGTCATTTTTTTTGTAAGCCTCAAATATAGCTGGGTCAACACTGTACAAACACTCAGTCCACTTCCCATAGAGCGCACAAAGTTTCTTTTTGCTGTCAAAAAAAGACTAAGTTTACAAAGGAGCTTAAAGAGATTTACTTCATCATTTCAGACAAAAATATTTGAAAGAACTTCGGAGAGCAACTTTTAAAACTCCATTATCGGTGTGGCACAACTCATAATCTTGCTGTTGCAGGCTCATGCCCATGACAGACTCCGTTAAAGGCATTCAGTTCTACAGCTCCCATCAGAAACAGGGGGCAGCCATTTGTTTCCCCTGAGGAATGAACCTGTTACCTTTTGTCCTGAATGTAGCCTTCGACCTTGTGCAACTCCTTCCCAAAGAGGCCACAGGGCTTGAAGCTTAGTACACATTTCTCGCCAGTTCTAAAGGCAGAACAAGAGGGCATTAATTACTTCCAAATGCTTTTCCTCTTCAAACTTGCAGCAAGTGGAAGCATTCACACTCTTAACTTACATATGGTTAGTTATTTCCACATTTCCATACTGTTCAATCCAAAGTTTGCCCACAATAATGTTATGCACACAGCATGTAGGATTTGTCCATGTGTAGGCTTCATTGTGTCTAAGGGAGAAGAATAAAAATTAAAATACTATATCCTTCTACTGGATGTCACTCCCGCAACAAGCCCTCATCTATAAATCGCACCGAGTCTTAAAACGGACATGGCAATAGGTCAGGAAACCCAGAAAGTTTATTAACCTGTTGCTCCCGATTTTATCAATTCCTTCAAACAGCCACCTCAGTGCAGTCACTGTAAGCGCTGAATGACATGATGAAAGCCAACAGGACTCAAGCGTGCTAGTTGTAGTAGGTCTGACGTGGGGGCATCTGCAGAACATACAGACACAAGCCCCAACAACTGCTGCTATTAGGAAGCAGTGTATTAGGAGAAACGATGGCAGTTCCTTTCATATTCTCATCCCCTCCTCCCTTCTCATCCCGTCCCATCAGGATGTGGGTCTTAGACATGTCCATTCTGAAGCCATGAGACTCTAATGTATGCTAATCACCATGGGTGTGGCCACCGTGCTTACGCCATTATTACTTATCAACTCACTCAAGAAGCTCCAAAGTCATTGTGCCTTTTGGTTCTGCTTCCACGCTCTTGCCCCAGAATTTGAGTTTAGGATAAATTGATCCATGAAACACGAAATCATTATTTAAACCTTCAGCATAGAAAGCACTGATTGGTGGATGATGGCTAACTTGCTCTGAGAGAAGTCTAAATCCAAGATCGTCTCTGCAAAATAAGAGATAACCAAAAGTATCAGTGTGGCAAAGTTGCAGTTCTTTTCCCCAGGGTGAAACAGATAGTTGGACCTCCGCATAGATGCTGCAGTCAGTGCAAGAGTTAGCTAAAACCCTAGGATAAAACAAAGAGATAGAAGAACATCCTCATTCTAAATAACAGAGGGCATAACGCAGAAAGGTAACAAGAACTATCAAATCTGATCAGCCAATATGTTTACTTTTGATAGGGACCTCTTTCTTAAACTTCTGCATAAACATAGGCCAAAACCTCACCTGAGGAAAAAATCTGCCCTAAGTGCAGCTGCACACTAATAGACTAAGATTGCCTATCTGTATTCTGGACACTCATTCAATGAATACTATAATTCATGTACCACGCACCTTTTCATTCAGAAGGTTTCAGAAAAAGAAGTCATTTCTGTAAAAAGACTTGCTTTTAAACCTGGCAAATTCCATTTGCCTGCTCTGAGCTTTTTAAAAGCTAAAAAAGCTAAGCAGTTTCCCTTCACCGGAAGGTGCACTGCTGAACAGCAACACACGTTGCAAGCACCTCCAGCAGCTGCTGGGAGAACGGGTGCAATCCCACAAGCCGAAGAGCAGTCTGCAAGCCACCTGACAAGTCTAGTGAAACATCAGTCACACAGAATACCACTCTCCACTCTTCAGCGCATTTTCTGTTCATTACCTGATCAATTCATATGTCTCTCCAAGCAACGGGTTAAATGGCTTCCCTGTACGTTCCCACTGCGAGGCTACAGCAGACACAGCAAATGCAGCAACACACTATTCAAAAGAGTAAGAGCACAGACTTAATCTCCTGGATTTTAGTCTTTATCGAGTATCAACAGCAGTCCCAGCATTACAGAATGATTCTTCTGAAATAGCTTCCGTTCTGTTTGCAAGGCACGGGAATAAACAGTTTTCATCAAAAGCCTAAAAAAGCAAGCCTTAGGAAAAGCAAAACATTTTGCTAGGTAAGCAAAACTCGTTAATGAATAAGAGAATCCAGCAGGCAGCAAATTACCGGAGCTCCTCCTATAATGAGACTATCTATGAAGAAAAAAAAATCCCAACGCATTCATCAAGAGCTAGCACAAATCACCACACCCAAAGTACCTGCATTCGCTCAGTTGTGCTGGAAAGTGAGCTGGCTTTGTGGATGAGGTACGTATGTTCCATATACTCTGTAAGTCGCTGTAGGAAGCTCAGTGGCTCGTTGAATATCACCGGCATTGTGATCTTCGACAACTCCTGATGCCCAAATGAAATTTGTGTTAAAACCCAAACGATTAGATACACTGACCTGCAGTAACCCGAGCGTAATTGGCTTATTACAAAAATAAATGATGCTCTTAGTCCTAATGCAATGTGCTTGACCTGGGTCCGCTAATGCTGGAAGGAAAATACCCTGTACATCCCTTACGAGGTTGATAAGCCTATCTGTGTTGACATTAAGGCTACTTTAAAAACAAAAAGAAAACCAAACATCAAACAAACTTCCTACCAACAAATGCATTAAGAAGGTGAGATGAAACAATGGAATGAAGTATTAAGGACCCTTTTAAAGACTAAGTTATTTATTACTCTTAAAATAGATACAGCCCATCTAATTACTTAAATTTATTATCTTTTTTGGAGGCAGGTGGGCAGGAGGGGGAGAGGAGGATGAGAAAGGATAGGGAAACCTGGCAGCACAGCAGTAAAATCAGGGATTTCTGTTCTGAAGAAAAAAGGAATTTTCATAATAGGAATAAAAATTTAAAAGAAGTCCTACAGTTTCGATGCTGTTTATTCTCTTTCCCATTTTTAAAAAGCACGCCCTCTGAATGCCTAACACAGCAATGTTTTAAACTGCCTGCAGTAGCAAATTAAAAGCATACAGTATGACCAAGGGCAACGTGTGCAGTAAAGAGCACTGTTCTTAACCACAACAGCAGCATCTGGCACTAACAGCTTTGGCAGACACTTTGGTACCATCCACTCCAAGTTCTGCTCCACACATCTCCTCCCTCAACTGCAACTTCTGTGCAGCAATTTCTGCAAAGCACAACTAAGACCTTGACGGAATTTTTTTCCTGCACACACCTTACACAAGACAGGCTTTGTAATTTAAGGTTATAACACTCTTCTGCCACAGCCACTGTGAGAAGCCTCAGATGCTTTACAACAACTCAGGAGACTTCAAGCTGCTGATACAAGCACTCCCCAGCTTTTCCACATCTCGGTGCTGTATCTAATTACAGCAAGGGGAGGAGGAGAAAACCACAGCGACTAAACACACATTCCCTTCCGTAGGCTGCTGTTACAGGCTGACAGAGGTTTATCAGCAGGGAGTACTTTCAGCCTATTGCAGGATCTAATGAAGAGAACTCTTCCTAATTCATCCTTAGCTGGAAGCAGATTAGTTGACAACCAGTTAACCTGTGATCTGGCCACCGTCTGCCCAATAATGCCGGGGGAGGGGCGGGGCAGAAGACCGAGATACTAAGGAGAAGGGAAAAAGCAAAATTAAATTAGCTGGTTTTTTAGTTTTGTTTTGCTTTTTTTCCACAGTCGAAGTAAAAAAGTTTTGCTACCACAAAGTACTTGAAGGGTTAAAAATCAAGAGAATATGCTTTTACTGAAGGAATATTGCTCTGACCAAGTCTTACCTTCTTGAGTTGTGAAAGCAAATAAAGCATAAGCAGCAAATTAAAGAAAGAAAAAAAAATCCCTCTCCCCAACAAGTTTTCATTTGGGCCTCAAATGAAACAATCACTTCACACCTTTCATCATAGATTTCTGATTACCTACCATTCCAATGCATTTTCTTAAGATACTCCAGATACTGAAGTCATTTCTGGAAAACATTGGAGATGGCAAGCTTGTTCTATGGAAAAGAACAGGGAAGAATGCAGAAGTAAGAGAAGTTTTCCATTACTAATCATGACTAAGAAACCCAAATACTCTTTTTTGAATGCAACAGTTTTCCAATTTTTAAATTAAAAAGCAAGGGGGAACGACAGTGCTACTCTGAAGCACTGAAACTGCGTTACCTGCACACAAACCTGAGTTTCTCCTAAAACAGAGCCAGAGCCATTCCCTTCATTTTGCGTAAGAGCAGGGGAAGAGAATTTCTACATCAGTTCTCAGAACAGTGTTTCCACAATGGCACTGTTACAATATTTAGCTGTGTCTTTGGGAGAAAAAGTAAGCTCTTTCCAAGTAGGGACATAAGCATGTTCACAATGTCTGAACGGTTTTGAGGATTAAACAGTGCAGGGTTTTTTTTCGCTAGTCACCTGTATACCGACAGTGAAAGGCGATGACATTTATTGCCTACATTAAAATCAGCCCTCAGGAGCAACAGAAAAAAACAGCATCATTAAAGAACAGAAAGCACAGCAGCGTGTTCTACAGGGGGCTGACATTACCTGAAACAAGTCTTAAACATACTTTCAAGACCAACATTTAGGCTGTGTAATAGAGCCTGTATTTGTCAGCTTTATGAGAAATCAGGCACAGATTTTGCGTGCTACTGACCCGCTCAACTATTAATCCAATTTACCTACAGAAAGGCATAAATATAGGTCAAAGCCTTTAGTCCACAACACCACCAAAATCCATGTTTGGATCATGAAGCTATTACCAATGAGAAAATTCTCAACAGGTAAGAACTACCTACAGCTCACTCAAACCCCGTGAGCTATTTGAGTTTCAAAGTTTAGTTGACTCTAAATGACTGTGTTGCCTTCCTACCAAGAAGGTCTTCTCTCCCCTCAAAGTAGCTAAAGCAGTGTCTTTTTCAGAGAGTGTGAACAGGCTGTAGCTGCCTCCTCCACCTCACTTTTCTGATAAACAGAAACATCGCCAAGAGAAAAAAATAAAAAAAGAAAAATCCATTCAGGCTAAGTTGTTAGTTTCAGTAGCCCTACTTGCTGTGTGACCTCCCACACTTACCTGCTACCGAGACGCCTTCACCCAGGCTGATGCTTCAGTTTTCAGAAAGAACAAAACCAAAAAATGCTCCTTAAAATACAACAAGCCCCAACCAATCAAAAATCTAGTCGTATGCCTGAATCCCCATGGTACCAAACTATGTTTTGTTAGCAAGTAGCTAACAGTCCAGAACACTGACTTGTTTTATTCAGCTCCCATGCAGGGGAGGAATGGGTAGGAGGATTTATTTTGATTGGCCAACATGGTATCACTCACTCCCTATTCTGATTTTCCACTGATACAAAAATATTTCGTGAAACAGATCATCTTGAATAGTATTAAGATACTGCTGTGGATGCTTTGATATAAATGTCCAGGAGAGGACAGTGTCTACCAAGTATTCAGTGTTATCTTAATTTGTTGTGTTTACTTATTTTTTCTGTATATTCTTTAACAAAGGAGTTAGCAGAGAGGGTATTTGTGTTTGAGCAAGCCCTTCTGCATGTAAAAGACACTCATATGCCTCTAGTTTGCTAAAGTATACACAGGGACTGCTTTCCTTCCACACTAAAACTTAAATTGTCATTAAAGTTAACCTATTCCTCCATTCAATTTGTTTAATTACTTGAAAGCTGGCATTCCGTTTCAGCCATTCATCCGTATTTCTTACCTATATCTGCCAAACCTGATGTGGGAGTCAGTTCTTTTCTCCATATAACAACACACTTACACCGAAGAAACAAAACAGCCTTAAGCCACCAAGAAAGATCCCAGGGACAAGTAAGGACATGCAGAAAAATGACAGGCAGCCAAGACTTGAGGCCTACTAACCTCGACACACTCCCTGTGATTAAGGGAAAGGTTTGTGAATGCAAAATTTCCTTCCATATGTCAATTTTAGAAACAACTCAAGAAATTAATTTTAGCTTTAGGTGACAAAAACATCTGCTGGAATTTCTGTGCCGTAGAACAGATAACATGTATTTACGATCACTCAAACAAAAACACTTGTCCAAAGTATTATGTACAGATCAGCTACTACAGGAATCCTGTGGGGAAGGAGACATATGGTGTGTAAAAGGCATGTTTAGCTTGCTCTTCATGTAAACCTGACTGAATAACCTCCTGGCTCCCGAAAAGCTAAACACAAACACGTTTGCATTCTGAAAGGCCCCCAATGGGGGGACCAAAGGTAAAGCTGACCATGAAATCTCAGCAATACGAGGGAAACAGCAGTGACAAGTGGATGCTAAATGTGTGTTTTGTGCAAAGGACGTGCTTTGTGCAAAGGACGTGCTTTGTGCAAAGGACTTTTTGGAGTTTTGGTTGTTTGGGTTTTTTTTTGGGGGGGGTGTTTGGGGTGGGTTGTTTTGTTTGTGGGTTTTGTTGTTTCTTTTTTGTTTATTTGGTTTTGTCTTTTTTTTTTTTTTTTAAAGTTTAGCTCAGATTAAACATTTCCCTCTTAAAAAGAGGGGATTTGAATGCTTCCAGATTTTTTAATGTACTATTCTCCTATCTCTCAAATCCTCTCCCAAAGAATTTTCAAAAATTAAGCCCACTCTCAAAACACTCTATGAACAACCAGTAGGATGGAAACTACATCAAAAAAAACCAAATCAGAGTAACAACAACAACTTTTAATTCCTTGGAACCAACAGATTTATTCCTGCAACTCCAAAACCAAAACACACACACCCCAATCAAAACACAACCTCCACCTCCCTGCGCAAAACCCTCACAACTCAGTAAGAGAGGCAGATTACAGCTCAGATCTTCTAGATGAAGGTAGGAAACAGTCTTATTTATACTGACTGCTGAACAGTATTAAGTACTCCCATGTGCAACCCAAATGCAGCTGCAGATCCTCTCTTCATCTGAAGAACTACAGGAAGGTATCAAGATTTTAAGCAAAAGAAATTAATCTGGTCTATTCTCTAAGTGACTTGTTTCCACGTGGTTAACACAAACAGAAGTTAAACAAAAATGTTACAGCAACCCCGAAGGTGTAAGGATGGAATTAAGTGCCATTAAAACATTCTGTCTCACTCACTTTGCACAGCACCAAGAAGTAAAGGTTTCTGCTCTGAAAAGGACAGAGGTGGCATCACAGATGATGCACGTTTGACCGCATGCTCTCTAACTAGCCTCGAAACCAAAACGGGCACAAACTGGAGCCAGCAGTTCCAGGTAGGCGACACAGTTCTGAAGTCATACCAACCAGACCCCACACCAGGCCAAACATCACTGCCACCAAGAGCCTCAGAAATGAGGCTGGAAACACCACACAACTCCCTTCCCCTGAGAAGGTTCTCTTGGAGATAAAATTCAAATTGGCTGAGCTCTGGGGAGAACCAGTTTGCATTAATGTATTTGTAGACAAATCCCAGTGTGTCGTCAAGGCACCTGGTAAAAAAGCTTGGTATTACAGCTTAACCTAGAATGTGCTCTATAGCCATTTAGTCACATAAAATACGACCATACATGCTTATCTGTATGCAAAACAGATGTTTCCCCTTTTCTCTATCAGTGAATTATTAGCCAGCCCATTTATGCACTCGTTTTACTCCAACTATACTCTCTTTACTACTAAAAGACACACAACTCGGGGAAACAACCTACGCAGAGGTACTTGTTTATTACTTTTCATTTCCCTTTACAAAACCAACAGATCTCAAATGTTCCTCCAGTCACCTGCTCCCTACAGCTCTGACAGCATAGTGCAGTCTTACAGAAACTTGCCAATTTACTACTTTTTTTATAGTAAATGGAAGATAAATTCCTGTTAAAACTCTTTGAGAAGAGGCATGTTAACGTGCATCATCATTTTCATGTTGATCATGAACTGCCTACTTTCTCCTCATTGTTTACAAGGCAATGAACACAATTCAGATGTCCACCTTCACCTAGTCCTTCACCCCCACCCCTGAACTTCCTGCTCTAATTAGGGAAGGCACATAGCCAAGGCTATAAATACCATCTTGCTAACAGTACAGGAGTGCAACGCGCTTAGCGAGCTGCTTTATGTTACCTTCCCAAACCACACTGTTGCTCCACCCAAGCCCTCATTTGCCTTAGTCTTTGCCTAGTATGGGAGGGATACACATGCAGAGGTTGAACCTTGAAACATCAGGTCTCTGACATTACCGCACACTTCAACAGTCACTGCAATTTAACTATTTAAGATACCGAGTAATTGAAGCATGTCTTGCTTGCCTCTGTAAAATTCATTTCCTGTTTTTACAAAATCTGGTCTCCCCATCATCATTCCACACATCCAAAACATTTCCAAGGAAGTATTTTTGAAACATGCTGAAGTCTGGCTTGATCTGTAGCACAAACATTATATTGCCCTTTCACTGAAACTCGAGAACAGTGGTGTCTATTACATCTCATTAACTCCAGACCTATTGTCCTCCTTTATCGGCAAGGAAACAAACAAAAATGGATCATTTGACAACACAAAATAGGCACATAAATCATGGATGAGACTTTTAGAATAAGACTCCCTTTGTTCACATTTGAGTTTCTGATGCTGGGCTAGCAATATTTTTCATTCATTCCTGATACCAACAGAAGGATCAAATAACTGGAAATTAAAGAGGCAACAGGAGGCATAGATCATTAAAGATACATGAAGGAATTAAAAGCCACATAGATTTCAACAAGATCTTTTCAATAAGATCTATTCAAAAATAAGTCTGTCCATTTTTGCATAGCACACCATATTTTATTTTTACTTACTCAGACTCAATCATCAAAAAACAAGATACAAAGGAACACGCTAGCCTTGGAAAAATATCCTTTATAAAACCACAGCACAACCAACTACTTGTCAATCACCCTAACAAAGTTTTTAAAGTTTTCACAGTTAGCTTTTCCGATATTCCTGTGGTCTTTTACTCACCATTAATGCATATTATAATACCTTAAGAACAGGCAACATCCTACCTGTGTTTTTTGATTCCATTAGACAGCAACTCCTCACTGCCACAAACTTTTTCTTCAGACATGCTTGAAGTTATTGTATCTTTTGAATCCATGCTGTCCTCTAATGAGTAGGCTGCTGTTGTTTCAAACCCACTCAATGATTTTTCAGATTCTGAATCTGCAAAAGAGCAGGTGCATGTTAATGAATCTACTGCCTGTGCTAGACTTCAGTCACTAACAGTTCTTCCCTCTTTGTACAAAACCGAAACCTAAGTAGGCTACTGTGTCCTGATGACAGCATCCATTTGGTAAGTAACTCGTACTGCCACAGACCGTTGCAGCTCTGTGTCTAGATACAAAGAGATTGCATGATAAGCAAGAACACAGTACATTAAAAACCCTCTATCAAACAGAGACAAAATCTGACATTTTTATTGAATTGAAGCTACTACAACTTGCTTAGGACAAGTGCCAGTGTCACACAGATGCCAGTACCTTACCTAACTAACAGTTACCTCTACATTCCAGTACTGACTTCTCCTTCTATATGAAAGTTCAGTTTGGTCTAAATTCATAGACACTCTGTGCTGTTCAGGAACCTTCACTTCCCAACTTGCCAAACAAGTATCAAAGAACAGAAGGAGGTATTGTATGCAGCAGATTACATTAGCCACGCAAGTCTCAGCAAAGTCTAAACGATAAGCTCGCCAATCAGCAAGATAAGCTTTGTACTCTGGAAGGTAGGTTAACAGTACAATCCACATCACATCTAAAACTAAAGACAACACCAACACCACCACCTTATTTCCAACCAGTGTTTTGGTCAGGTAGTGCTTGACCAGCTCTGGTGAAGAGACAGTCTTTCCCCAAATCAGAAAGTAAAAGTTTCCCAGCAAAAGGCTGTATTTTTGTTTCATGTTTTTCTTTCAAACCTGAAAAGACTGTCAAAGGATTATCCAATTGCAAGTTCCAGGAAGCAAAGGAACAGCTCAAGACAAGTAAAGACGCACCAATTTCTACCCCATTTGTGAAATCCTTTAGCAGAAACCAGGTACAACACTGAACGGTAAAAGCTTAATGCAAGCCTCACCGCTTCTGAAAAAATTGAAGCCAAGCCGTAGTAGACACAATTCCTGCTATGTACTTCTTTCAGCATATGCTACTGCTCTTGGCTGCAAATACCCAGAGAAATAATTGCAAGATTAGTCATTCTCTCACACACTGATTCCAATTCAAAACTAGTAATGGAAGCCTGCTGAAGTAGCAGTCCATCTAAAAGAATATTGCAGTCACAGCTGTCCATTGCCAGGCACTTTCTTGTTTTCTCTTAAAAAAAAAAAAAAAAAATAATAAAAAAAAAAAAAATTACCTATGCCAGTACCTTCTCCAGAACATGTAAATTATATATTGCTTTGATGAAGGGGACAGTGACAAGAGGACTTTCTACTATATCCAGATTAGAGAAGGGTCAAGAACAGGACAAAATCCTGATGAATGGATGGGCTGTGCCACAATGTCTCCGTCCTTTCTAGAGACAGTGAGATCTAGAAGCATAAAGGAGTTCTTTCCTTTCATTAAGAACATCCATCCCTATCCTTGTCAAGACAGTACTGAAATTAAGCCAGTTGCTAGGGAATGAAAAGAACTGCCAGCTGGTGCTGAGGACATGTTAAAAAAGTGGACTGGCACTCCAGAGAATCTTCTCACAAGTTTCCCCAAATTTGTCAGTCTAGTTCTGTGCCAAATGATGATATAACATACCAAAGAATTAGTTTGGTGGGTACTATATATAACAAGCAGGATAAGGAGAAGCTTTTTTACTCGTGGACAAGTCTGTTACATAAAATACAGATTTCTCCAGAGGTCGTAAGCCCAGGTAGTCAGGAAAACACTGTTGTGTATCCAAATACCACAGAGGAAGAGACACTCTAGCAGCGTAACACAGCTTGGGCCTCAGCATCCTGACCACAAGACAGGCTATGAATCCCTTCAAGGTAAGTATTCCACCTCTCTATTGAAACAGCTGTGCCAACAGTTATTGCGACAAGAAAAGCACGAAGCAAACCTGGTAACATAAAGCAAGGAGTCTGCCTCCTGAAGGCTCGTTTCTTCTCCCATACCATCTGGGACTGTCTTGTTTTCAGACAAGAGCCATGACACACAAATTCCCTCAGTCTGCATTTCTGCAACAGACCTAGGACTCCAGAGGCGGAAAAACAGGTAGGCTTCACCAGAACCGCTGACCACTCTCTGATACGCTTCTCAGCGTAACAGGGATTTTTAAACACTACACGTGATCAGTCCTCCTAATGCCGGCCTTATGGTGCCAAAAGACATACTGGACTGAGCTCAGCACCTGCAAACCTCTTGAGAGCTGCAGACACTGACCAGGCAGCCTTCTCCTGGACACATGCCTTACTTAATACAACAAGAGCATGCTATACAATAAAGAGCAGTACAAAAATGAGACCAGACGCCGTTACAAGAAATTGCTCTCTAGAGACATCTCTCCCATTTTCCTGAGAAATGGCTCTCATTGAGAAAGTATGTCCACAACAGCTCCTGTCACCAAAGATCTCAATCTCCAGTCCCTAAAGCTCGGCTACCTCCTTTGACCTAACGAGCTTAACAAGCCTTGAGAGTTTGTTTAGGTGTCAGACTGAACAAGCTTAGTATTGTATTGTGAGCACAGAGCAACTCAAAATCAAACTGGGCTTGTTCCCTCTGCATTTGCAGCTAACTCTTTTCTGAATTAAGATTTGCATACTCCCCCGTCACTGCAAAAAAAAAAAAAAAAAAAAAGATTTATATTCACAAGTTGCTACAGAGCAGCTGTCAAACAGATGACTAGGAGAAAATGAGGTGGTTTTTTTTTTTTTTTCTATTGAACTTATGTGGGTGTGGGTTGACAAGGGGGGAGAAGGAGTAAGAGTCCCTGTTCAGAAGCCAAAATTTTTAAGCCATCTTTGAGACAAGACCAGGCTGACTAGGAAGCTCTCCAGCTCATGAAACCTGAAGTGTCAAGGTAACAGTAAAAACACCAGCTACATTTTGCAAGAGTGGGAGAGCAAGGCGAAACAGCAGAAGCAACGACAGAAACTTAACTCAAGGGAAGTTCGCCTCCTATTACAACAACTGGTAAGTCTTCAGTTCCAGATAGGAAAGTTTGCTTGACGTATTTGATTAATAAATACAACTGAGAAAGGTAGTGTTTAACCACTGGCAAGGTTGGGTTTGAACTCTGACCAGTTGTTTCCCATCCCTCTCCAACATACTTGAATTCATTCTTTTGACTATATTCAAATCAAGAAGTAAACAACAGCAGCGTTCTCGCAGAGGTTGTGGAGTATTTTTGGTATACATTCAAAAAAGCCACTTGACAAACTACCCTAAACATGGAAGGAAGGGCAGTTAAGTTTCTATGCTTTTCATATAATTTTTTACATTTAAGTGAGCTGATAACTGGAGGCAAACTAGGAAGCATGCAAAACCAACAGAACTTGTCTGCTACTTCTTGTACTGTTTAGAAGCATTATTTATAAACACAGCACCCATTAGTGGCACATAACAGTTGAAGATGTACTATGACATGTTAGCTTTAGTATAACCTAAATACTGCTGTAGCTAAATAACTACTTTTCTAGTAACATTGCATCTAGGTAAAAACATCGATACCCCGCTCAACACACACAAAAGCTGTGTTTGCAGAAAAACCCCCACCTCTCAGCCAAAACTCGTTACAGAGAAAAATCAGGACGGTTCCAAGCTTTTCCCAAATTGGGTGTGCAATTTGCATATAATCAGGGGATCTTATCTGCAAGGCAAAAATCAAGTACCTTCATCCTTTAATTCTTGACTTGCTTAGCCGTTTTTCAGCATCGTGGATGGACTCTGCATTCGTATTCAGTTTTCGTATGTTTCCTGAGGTCTGTATACTTAATCAAAGCTAATCACTTCTGCAGCTCTCTGAGAGATGCCACTGGCATTATTAAATTTTGCTGCTTGTTTAGTGTTTCTTCCCTTTCGCAATCCCTGCCCCACCCTGCTTTAAACATAGAAGAGTTTGACACATGTTAAGCATTCAACCCTGAAACCCAGAGCTCCAGCACTCCATGTGCTACCGAGTTTAGTTACACATTTGCACCACGCCCATGATGAGAGGATCAGTGCACTGGGAAGCATTGTTAGCTGACCTACTGCTATCAGAGTTCAGATTCATAACACCCTTAACTTTGCTGTTCTTAATACTGGATACCAGGCTTTGGAGCACAAGTAACTCCCATTTCCTACAGGTCCTTCTTTTCATGTTCAGTGTCTGCTGCTCTCCTGTTGCAGGGATTTAGGAGCATCACTTAAAAAATTAAAAAGAGGAGAGACTTCAGCAAATAAACTACTACTTCAGTAAGCAATCTTATCACATTACAAATATTTTCTTCATCCCAGTTTTTGGAAAAGAAAGGGTATTACTTTAATTGTGCGCACAATTTCTACAAACAGAACTACACAACACAGACTTAGCAGTGACCAATTTAGTCTATGCCAACATTAGCAGGTAGCATCGCCCAGCTGGAGCAGATTTGCAAGCCAAACAGATGGTGCTGAGGACTTGACACTTAAACTAAATACATTTCTGGTGGTGTTTCTCTTCAAATTAGCTTTACTCTCCTACCATGGATTCAGTGTCCAATAGCAACTGGATTGTATCTTCTGCTTCATTCAGGAGTCTGGTTCATGCAATCAGATAGCTCTACAATGTGAATCAGACCATGGCGTATGGAGACAAGCAGCTGCTGCTGTGACCATATCCTTTCTAATACACTTCTTGCTCAAAAAACTGTTTGAAAAGTCTTGCATTGCTGCTAGTGGTACTTTTGGAGAGAGTAAACAAGCAGAAATATCTAATATGCAGACAACATTCTTTTAAAAAACAAACCAAAAAGCCACAGTGGCTGTTTCTTTCAACCTGTCAAGTCAACACTAATGATTCTTCAGCTCAAAGTGCAAGCCTGGTTATGCAATACTCTCACTTCTAAAATTCACTCCTACGGTGGAGATTTAAGAATTCAAAGAACTGTAACTGGAAAAAGATTGTATCCTAACAGAAAAAAATACTCTCAAAGTAGCAGCATTTTTCCACTGACAGACATTGTAACTTGTCACATCACCCTATTAAAATGCATTGGTGTTTGCTCAATCTCCTATACCACCTCATTAAGTAATTCATCAGTATGTCTAGTTATCCAAAACCAATATAATTTAACTCAATAAAATCCTACCAGATTGCAAATCAGGTTTAGCAAAAACTTTGAAGACAAAGTCCTAGTAGTTCAGATTTCGGAAGGTACAAATTTTTAGCTTCTGACAACTAGGCCTAGTCACTGCTCTCTGTTATGAAAATATTTATGCTCGTATCTCCTGTCTCATTAGCCCAAGAAAGAAGACCCACATTCCTAGACTCCAAGCCAGTGTCACATATCCATGACTCCTCTGCTCTCTCTGTATTCTTGTCACGCAGAGACAAGAAGCCTTCTAGTTGAGATCACAGTCGTGGCAGAAAAGCAGGAGTGTTAGAAAGTATTATCAGGATCCAAGTGATTAGCGAAAAAAACCCACCCCAAATCACACCCACAAAAAAATCTAATTCCTTTTGTGTTTACAGTGAAAGTCATAACATGCCTCCAGCAGCCAGTAAAATATGTCACATCTCCCTTTCTCTAGCCCCCGCAGAAATCAGAGTGCCCTTCCCCCAAACACATGCCTTCAGAGACAGAATGGACCCTGACCACTGCAAACCAGCGAATATAAACAAGGCAGAACAGAGAATCTGTTCAAAGAAGTTTGACGAAGCTGACAGATAGTCAAGAAAGTGAGCCTGTCCTAGAAGATTATTTAAATTACAATCAAGATGAATTATGTCAAGTAACTTCTCCTGAACGAGAGAGAATTGACATATATGCTTTTTATATATGTGTATGTGCATGTATATCTATATCTATGCTCAACAAGTTTCACAGCTATGAAAATCCACTCGATGTGATTTGCTTGCAGCTTCAAGTGACAAGAACACCACCTCTCCCAACTAGAAAGGAGGCTTTGGACACTTTCATTCCAGAAGATTTAGAGACTGGGTTAGTTATTAGATGTATAGACTAACAGGTCTTTAAAGCTGAGTATTTGAGTATGTGAGTTTATGAGGGTATATGAGTATATTTGAGTATGTGAGGGTGGAATATCTCCCTTATGATGAAAGGCTGAGGGAGCCCGGTCTCTTTAGGTTGGAGGAGACTGAGGGGTGACCTCATTAATGTTTATAAATATGTAAAGAGCGAGTGTCAGGAGGATGGAGCCGGGCTCTTCTCGGTGATATCTAATGATATGAGAAGGGGCAACAGGTGCAAGTTGGAGCACAGGAGGTTCCACGTTAACATAAGGAAAAAAACTTTTTCCCTGTGAGGGTGACAGAGCACTGTCACAGGCTGCCGAGAGAGGTGGTGGAGTCTCCTTCTCTGGAGACATTCAAAACCCGCCTGGACGTGTTCCTGTGTGACCTGCTCTAGGTGGTCCTGCTCTGGCAGGGGGGTTCGACTAGGTGATCTTTCCAGGTCCTTTCCAACCCCTGACATTCTGTGATTCTGTGATTCTCTCATATACACAAAGCAAGTCTGGCTGGAGAGACTACATTCCAGCAGCACCAGATAAACAACTATTCTGGCCTTTGTTGGGACAAGCAAAAGAGCCTGAGGCCTTTCAGCAGAATTGTTCTTTTGGTTCTGGTTGAAGAACCTGTTTCTAGTGTTCCTCAATCTCTTCCCCCTCCTCGAAGGCTCGATAAATTTGTTATCGTGCCAAGCAGCAAAGTCTGCTGTTGATTCGCTGTGTTTCTGTGCTAGTGCTATACTTAAGACTCCACTTTGCCTGGTTTTATTCTCTGCTTAAGCTCCACACTGCAGAACACCCATCAAGGAAGCCTGGGAACACTGCTTTTCTCATCTGTCAGAAGCAACAGACAGTTCAGCTCGCAGAAGAAATAACTCCACGCTTGCTCATCATGTATGCCATCACAACCTAATTATCTGCTACAGTTAAGACTGTTCACCCTCAAGTTCTTCCAGATCCTTCATAGTTGTAGACAGCTGCGTGCTGCAGGATCATCCAGTTAGAGCTATTATTGAGCTGCACTATGCACAGCCTCTCTATACAAATGCACGTTGTAATCATGTTATGCAGTTCAGGGTTTTCCAAAATCACTATCTGCATGTTCTGCCCATGAAAATATGAAAGATACTAAACTGAAAAGCAGACAGGGAAAGAAAAAGTATTTCAGGAATGTACACAGGATTTTGATTCATCCTTTTCTTCCACCTGTGACACTTAAGGTATACAAAATTGAAACAGAACAGCCTTTCCTAACTCATTATCCCTCAAAATTAGGGATTTTTATGGACCGATCTTAACAACAAAACAAAAGAAAAAAATACACACCACTGTGGAGAAAGCAAGTCAGAAGGCTACCAGATACATTTACCATCTCCTAAAATAGGAGCCTTAAGTTTTGCTATTTAAAAAAAAAGGGGCGTAGACTCCCAGGCAATCAGACCTTTCATGACTACCCTGTGGTTTCGTAACTTTTTGCCATGCTGAGGTGAAACAATACAATTCCACAGGTGAACTCAGACAAATTTTTTAGAGGCCCACTCATAAAGTACATGAAACATTCTCCTAAAATTAATTCCACATTAGAAAGGCAGAGATTCCACTTAAAGAGAGACTGTTCCCACCCCCTCACCCCCCTCCCAATGCATTCACACGTGCTGGCTACACACTCACGCTCTGGTCATTACTACTTACCTGAAACAGCATCATAGAACTGTTCTTCACTGATGATGCTGAGAGGCGGAGATCCCTTAACCAGAGACTGCTCTAGTTCATGGTGTTCGGTAGCTAGTGTCTCTAATGCTTCTGACAAGATCTTGTTTTTCTCCTGCTCATGCTCCAGTTTCAAATTCCTCACCTATAAGTAGATATATGTATGAATAAAATCTCATCTCTCCAGAGAATGTGTAGCTGGAAGCTATTCAGAAAATAGACTCTAAAAAAATAAATAACTGACAAACAGCTGGAACTGAAACCACATGGATTAATGAGTATTACAGTATTTTTGTAATGATAAGGTTCTTACTCAACATTTTCAGTAGCTGAGAAATCTGACGGTATAAATCACAATTCCACAAGTGAACCAAAGCCAGTAACTATACCTTAAAACTGAGGGGAAATATTTACAACTCTACTTGAATGACCTTAACTATGGAGTCAGTGATCGGTTTCTACACGCACCAAGCTCCTTGTCCTAGTCCGCTCTAATTTGGGCCAAGCAGCATCATCTAAATTGAATTACCGAGCAAATGTGAATTCCAGCTACAAATAACTGCGACTGAACTATGAGCTGAAAACATTTAACCCTGAGGATTACAGAAGGAGGTTAGAAGAGAGATTCCTCTACTAACTGATTTAACGTTGATATAAACAGCCCTCCCTCCCCACTCCCAGGACAGTTTACAGAGGAGCCAGCAGCTAACAAAAAAAGCAGCCCAGCCACCACATGGTGGACCATTTTTTTAAGCCCACACATGCAATCAGCCCCAGAGATGATGTTATCCACGTTTTGCATCCAGGACTAGTAACAGGAGAGCAACATGTCCTTCCTATTTCCCACTCATTTTCTTTGCTGGTGCTTTCCTGCCTCCTCTTTCTGCCAGGGGAGAGGAGAAGGCTGTAGCTGAAGGCTTGGGAAGGGCCTTTTTTCCCAGCCCAGCAAGGCTTCAAGGTGCTACTTCTCCTTCAGCCCCTAAACCATTGACTCTTTTCCTTTCTCTTCCTATCTCCAGTCTTCCCTCCAGTCCCTTTTTAAAAGCATCCCCAACCCCGGCCTCTTCCTCTATTTTACTCTCAGTTTACAACGCTGATTCCCCCTCCGCTAACAGCGTGCAAGAACAGGACAATTAATCTCTTGGAACAGTTACAGAGACAACTTACACACTCCCCTAAGCAACTTACACATAAACGTACATTACCTTTTTGAGCTAATGTAAGCACCTTTCATATGTCCCATCTGGCTACATTTTACACTAAAACTTTACTTTGGAGGCTTCAGCCCCCTCGGTTTAACAACCACTCAAACAGTGGATGCAGAGTTGGGCACAAATAGAGGGTGCAAATTCAGAGACTAGAAAGGAAATATTAACGCAGATTTGCCACTTCCAGGGAAGAGTTTCTATGCTGGCAGTAACATATCCTCTGGAGAAAGATCTATGGAAGAAATTTTCACCTCCTCAGTTGTGCCAAATACAAAACCAGCTGGTTTGGCTGCCAGGCTCTGAGTGTAAAGGGGCAATCCAATCAAGTGATAATTAAAAGAGTATAAAATTGGGTTGCTAATTGAAAGCAATAAAACCACTAAGTCACTTACTGTCTAATAGTTTTACCCTGAACAAAATGAAAAAGTCTGGACTAGTTACTGTCACTTTCATTTAAAGTTCATTCTGGTAGTACCAACGAAGCCAATTACTGCAATGTTTCATACAAATCAGACATGCCACTGCAAAAGACCTGTTATTAAGCAGTTTCTGCAGGGGTTACGTTTTGTACGCTACCAAGTAGTTACGGAATGGCCCGTTTAGAGAAACGGCATCAGTATTTCACTCTCCTGAGAGAGGGAGGGTGGAGGACCAAAAATAAAGCAGTACTTTCCATTCTTATTAAAGAGCAAAGTAAAAGCAGTTATTAAAATGGTATTTGCAAATTTTTTTCAGTATTGAATGCCGTTATGCTCTAATGGTTTGTTTTGATAAAGATTTAAATCACTCAAATCATTTATCTAAAACTTAAGTTTCAATGTTATTTAAGAGCAAATTGAAAGAAAATTGAAATATATCTAACAAAACCTAGATGAACCTTTTTTTGCATCCTCTAAAAGCAGCGTGACCAAACAAGCAACAACAGATACAGGCTTAAGACACCACACCTCTCCCCAAAAAGTCTCTTACTGACTTTAAAGTTCCTCTGCCCTATCATAATGTAGAGCTATTCAGAATTGCAAGTGGCGTACTAGAAAAATTCACTTTTTGGAAGATAGCCAGCTTTACAGTAAGGTTCACTTTTCTGTGTACTTCCAGGCTTCCTAGCTGCCAAACGCTTTCCAGCACAGCAATTACATGCTACTAGTAGGTAACAACAGCAACAACAACAAAACTGTTTTTCATCTCTTACATAAAGAGCACAACACTAGCCAGAAGCTAAGGAAAAGAGAAAACATATTTAAGTTCGTTGCTTGTATCATTTGTGATGTTCACTCATATCCAAATGAACTGGTTTTTAAAGCAACCTTAGTTCTACAGTTGGGGGCTGGAGATGAAAGTCCAATATAAAACTTTTGTCAACAGTACTGAGCTTGTAGGATGGACACACATATTCAGAGAGTCCAGAGGTGGCTCTACGAACCTCTACAGCCTAGTACTCAGGGAAGGGTAAGAGCTTACACTAGCAGCTCTTTGAAGGCAGTGGTCTGGAAACACTATGCCCTTAAGCACCAAAACACTTTAACAGTGTCAATGTTAGAACTGGAAAAAAAAAAAAAATCCACCCCAAAACAAACAAACAAACCAACCCCAAAGAACCCAACCTTTGTGTACCTTGTAAAAATACAGGTAGCACTAGAGAAATAACCTTGTTTGAAACAAGCAAACCATATTTTTATTTCTTAAACACAAAGCACCTTTGAGCAATACCATCATTTTGTCACCTTGTCTTTTATTACTGATGAGATACTGCAAGAAGGTTTCAGGAGGTAATTTGACTGTAAAGGCAGGACGTTTTGGGTTTTTTTTGCAGAATCACACACTCCATTCTTCCAAGCTTAACAAGAAATATGCAGGCAGATTTGGCACTATTTGCAAAGTGGAAGTTTATTGAACAACATAATTGACCAGCTGAGTGATAGGTTTTCCCAAAATATAAGTAGATTGCTGTCATGCAGAATTTTGCCATATTCTATTTTTCACTCACAAGGCTTGGCCAATGATTAAGCTCCGAGGTGAATTATTCCAGCTTCCTGGCTACTCCACCATTTTTGGAGATGACACTTCAGCTTTACTGCTTTTCCCAGAGGTTTTTCTTCCCCATCCTGTCTGTCTTCAGTGTCTCAACACAAAAACAACTGCAAGATTACAGAAGGAACCTCCAGCAGGAAGATAAGCATAAAATGACAAAGAAAACACCCACTTTCAGAAGCATATGCATTTCAGTCTATTAAACTGGATGCAGAGATCAACATTTTTCACTGGAAAATCATCTGATTTTGTGAAGTTGCATTAGCGGAGTACCATGCTATTTTACACAGTGACACAAATATTTATATAAGGTAGTAAGTATCACACCAAAATGATGCAGGTATCAGTGTATACACAGCCCTGGAAATCCAGTCTGAGTATACCCAGGAAAATATCAGACATTTTATTGACAGCCTGCGTAAAGCACAGCTTGTGATACAGCCGTTGATTCTGTACCTTTAGTAGTGGTGCCTGAGCTGAGAAACAGACAGATAGCAATTCATATCGTACTGAGTTCAGCTCCTCATCCTCCAGCTATGGAACGGCTGTCATCTTTCTGATCCCCGCAATGCCAGTATCACCATCACAGTTATAAACTTTCCACTGAGCTTTACAGGGACAGCAGCACAGAGTGTTCTTGTGAGCCCAGCATGAGGCCAGCTGACTTCCTAATGTTCAACTGGACAGGCTTCCCACCTTACCCTTGTCAGGCGCTATTCTGCACAAGAGTAATGAAGAGTTATCAATAAAGTTTGTCTAACAGTGCAAGCACAAGCCCATCTCAGTTAAGATCAGTCTTGTTTTCAACTCTAAAGAGACTATTATTACAGTGAAACTTCAGATTTATAATTGCTCACAGAAACCATCTAGCTTTGTCTCACGGAGGTAAACATCTGCTCAATCATTAACCTTACAGCTATAACCTGATACACTGACACAGAACCACCAAGACTTCAGTATCTCGGTCAGTGCAACAATTTTTTTTTTTTTTTTTTTTTAAATACTTCTCCAGCTGAAGAGGCTTGATATCCAAGTTCTGGTAACTGGTTTCACTTCCAGTTTAACTGAATGAGAATCTGCTTCCAACAGCCTCCCATAAATATATGGGTCCTTCAAGCTGTAAGCACTGAATTCTGAGTTTAAACAGTAGAACTGAGTTATTTTAGCAGCCAGACTTCTATTTTTTTATTTTTTTTTAAGAAGGAAAGCAGCAAGCTATTTGCATACACTTCTATTGTCTTTCCATGCTATTAGAAATCCTGCTAAGCACAAGAGCATCGTTTAAAAATTAACTTCTTCATGGGGTATTATTAGCAGCAAGTTCAGTTTGCCTACTAAAATATCAAAAAGTTTATCTGTGTGTAACAAACACCAGTCCCATTCCTTTCTGTACTCTCAGCTTCCACAAGGTAGGTGAGAGACTAGTAACATGCACTAAACCGCTATTAATTTTTTTTCTTTTCTTCCTTTTTTAAAGCCTGAAGTCTTGAACTATATCAGTGCAGCCTGAAACCAAGGCTTCTCTGTCCATCATGAACACATGTCAGTACAATACACAAAATACTTGCTTTGTTTGGTGCTGGATGCTTTTAATTTAAATTAATGCCCAACAACAGTGGCACTTTTGTGGGGTAGGAAAGGGTCATGCCACTGTATGCCCAGCTAATAAATTACCATCTCTGCAACATGCTATTGCAGCTGCAAGCAAATCCTAAAAACAACACATAGCAAGCAAGGCATAGGACAAATACAGCCACCTCAACCACATGTAGGGCTGCCTTTAAAGTTCAAACAGTAAATTAAAAGACACCATACCTTAGCTCTAGGATCTCCTGGACTGACAGTGAGAAGACAGACTTCACAACACTGCAGTGTGATTTAGCTGAAGACTACTTTCAAAA